AAAAAAAAAAAAAAAAAAAAAGAATCGCAATTGCCAAGTGAGGGACGTGGGGAGGGGAAGAGGAGAGGGAGGCAGAGCCCCGAAACCCGGGACGGGAACGCCACAACAGTTCCCAGGCAAAGGGAGACTGGATTGAAAGAGCTGGAAAATGAGGGGCCTGGGGGGTGAAGGGGTCCCCTCAGGAGAAGAGGAGAGGGACCCATGCAGACCCAGGGAAATGGAGAGGAGGAGTGTCAGCAACTAGGGACGCAGAGGGGAATGCCAGGGAGGTTCCGCTAAGATCTGAGCTCCAAAATCCAGGAGGGGAGAGGACAGGCGGAGATGGAGTTTCCTCCAGTTAAAAGTGAAAGTGCTTCGCCTGGGTGACAGTTGGAGCGGAGGGCGGCAGGGGCGGCGTTCCAGCCCCACGCCTGCTCTCGGGTCCTCCCTCGGTCTCTCCCCTTTCCTTCTGCACTTTGTCCAATGAAAGAAGGCGAGTTCGGAAGGTGAAAGTTCAGCTGAAGGACAAACCCCTGATTGCAAGGAAACAGAAACCCCTCCAGCCAGGGGGATTTTCCCCTGCATCGCGGAATCGGGAGAGAGTGATGAGAGCAAGAACTTACTCCCTCAGGCCTTGTCAGTCTCTGCAGGAATGTTGTCCCTGTCGCCAGGTCCACTTGGGGGGAAAGTGGCTGCAAGGAGAACTGTGTTTTCGCCACGGTTCCTCTTAAGAAAACACCCGGGGGCTAGCATGTCAATCACTTGTTTAACACAAATTACCTGCTCTCTCGAACATCAGTCACGTGAGAAAAAAGCTTTGTGCAATTCTTTGGGAAGGTGAGATTTTTTTTTCTTTTTGCTGTAATGAAGTTTGTTTGAGTGTGTGAATTTAAATAAGTACCCAAACGAGCCCAGATGAAATGTTTTTGAAATATAAATAAAAGTACATAAGACAAAAAGCACTTTTAGCAATATAAATAGGCAGGGAAGCTGATTCTGTTTTCAGCGCGGGTCTTAGAAACCGGACCTCTGTGGCTTCTAGTGAACAGAGATTATTTTGGGGTCTCCTCCAAAGCGCTTAGGGAGCTGAGGCTTGCTTACTGCCGTTTGCATCTTGAGAATAACACAGATATAAATAATACTCTTACTCCGTTATAATAGATTCTCCTGGATAATGTCTTTTGACAAATATTAAATGTTCATTTGCAGAATGTAAAACTGAATTGAAATGAGGTGAGACTATCATTTAAATTTATATCCTATGTTTGGAAAGTAGAAGAATTAACAAAAAAAACCATTCACTGGCATTGCCAGAGAAAAGTAGTGTGGGCTGAATAATACAGCCTGGTGGAATTCATGCTGTAAAACACTCTATGGCAAGCAAACAAGACAGGCCACCCCATTTTTAATACTAGAAACTACATACGTGAAATGTATTTTTGCGTTCTATAAAAGAAATGTATTTTTTGTTCTATAAAAGGTCTATGTTTTCTTTGTTAGGACATGAATACATCTTACTATAATATTCCAAACCATCTAGTAAGTACTTTAAAATACACAAATATAGTAAGTTCCTGCCTTCTGTACTCTTACAGGCCACTGCTGACAGTAATAACATCTGATATTTATTGAATGCTTGCTATGGCCTAGGCTGTGATCTAAAAGGTTTGTGACAAATTAGTTGATAATCTCACAAAACCTTGAACATCCATGGAAAGTCCATATTTGGAATTCACATGGAGTTAACTAGAAATCTACAGAGTAGCCAGTCTTTGGGGGGAAAACACTAGTTTTAATTTCTATGATGATCCTGCCAAATATAACTTATTCATGGTATATAGCTGGTTGTACAATTGTAACTCCAGGGAAACAGCAGTTTATTGAAATAGGACATTTCTCTGCATAGTCCTTAGAGAACAATTACTACTGTGATCTTGTTTATCAGATTCAGCCATGGTTTGTGTTGTTTTGAGGGGTGCTCCCCCCCCAACAGTGAAATCCTTAGCTTGCTACTGATCTTGGTCTGAATTTTAACTGTCTTAAATTCTACCTTCACTTACAAGATGAGGCTACAGACAGATTGGCAACACGTTTTGCAGACAAAACGAAATCCTGGCTGTAAATCCCATGATATATGGCACTGTTTTGGGATACGGTCCTGTCTGATGTGCAGACTTATTTGGAGACCCCCACGCCCATTTGGTTTACATTACAGGAACACTTGACTAGGGCTTAACACACTGTCCATTTTGAACACTGGCACATCACGTTCACAGGGAACAGGGTTCTAATTTCTTTATCAGTAATCAACTGGAAGTTTCTTTTTGTTAAATTAAAGCAAGAAGGCTTTTGTGTGTGTGTGTGTGTGTGTGTGTGTGTGTGTGTGTGTGTGTTTAAATAAAGGGCATGGGGGTAGGACGCCACCTTTTGGTGATAAAACAAATAGAAATCCCTTTTTAGACCTGCTGCTGACATCATTTTAGTTTTAATTACACCAAAGCAAGGGTGCTTGTCCTCATTTCCTTATATATTAAGTAGTGGGGTGTACAATTAGCTAATTAAAGTTAACCAAAGCCAGTGTTTCCCTAGAGGTATTAGTATGTGTTCCTGCCCTGCCACATACTGTTAAACCAAACATGGAATTCATTCTCCAAATACTGTGCCAATGCACATATGCACAATTCAGGAACAGGGAGACTGGACATTTGCCACTTATGAGGTCTGAATGTTCTGGTAAGTTTACAGTTAGAAAGTAAAATAGATTCACAAGATTTAGTGTTTGTACATTCCTGAGTTTGTTATAACTCACAAATAACATACTGCGTCCACAGGAGTGCAGCTAATACACTAATTGTCATAAATATTTTCATTTACTTCAACTATCTCTTTATTTTTCTGTTACATTGTGTGCGAAACCTGTATCTCTCCCCCTACATTAAATATAAGCACAGTGGAAAGAAAATCGCCAATTGCTCTTTGTGTTTCAAAAGAAAAATTAAAAAGTGAACTTCAAAAGAAAATATGTGACAAGAGTGTTCAGCTGTCATCACTGGAAATCCAGCCCCACCCCTTTTGACAATCTGAAGGATGGGATAGTGACTGGAAGGGAATATGGTTGTCAATATGCTATGCAAGTTGATGTTAGCATTCCCACAGTGGGAAAATGGTGTGTATGTCCCAGCACCACGAACTGCAGGTGGCAAGGTCAGACTAGGGCATGAAAGCCATTCTCCAAGGCCAAATAACTGGCAGTGGTCTGGCCAGGGTTAGAAGCCAGACACCACTTATTGTCTTTCTTCATGACAGTCCCACCTAACTAAAGTACCAAGACATTGTATGTTAAGCAGATGTCCTGGTACCCCACAAACACCCACCCTTTACAGATGGTGGAGAAACTTGAGGCCACAATGAGTCATGTTTAAGTCTAGGTTCCTCCTCCTCCTCCTCTTCTTCCTCCTCCTCCTCTTCCTTCTCCTCCTCCTCAGCCTTTTTCCCAAGGGAGATGAAGCATGTATGGACTCTTCTCCTGGGGCTAAAACTGTTTCCTTCCAAGATGAAACTGGCTGGTGACCAGCATGTGCTCCACTGTGTGTTAAGAGAATGGAGCCACTCTCTGTGCCTTGATGTCCCTATCAGTCCATATATAGCATTACTAGGCAAAGAGAGAAAGTTCAGAGCCCAGGAAAGCGAGTCAGGGAATATGATGGACCCTGATCACAGGGGTGTTCCCTACAGCTAGCTGAAGAGGTTTAACTTCTCATCTGGTGACACACACAGAGACCCCCCCCCTTCTCTGGTGTGTGTGTGTGTGTGTGTGTGTGTGTGTGTGTGTGTGTGTGTGTGTGTGTGTGTGTGAGCGCGTACATACATGCGGGGCCACAGGTCAACCTCTATCGGTGTCCCTCAGAAGCTGTCCACCTTGTTTTTTGAAGCAGATCTCTCATTGGCTTCAGTGAGCCCCAGGTATCCATCATATCCAACTTGGGGGGAATAGGATGTATATATGGTGCATGAATCTGTGTATATGGATGGCCAGGCTCATGCTCACCCATGTGGAAGCCAGAGTTGGCTGTCTTCCCCTAACATTGCCTTACTACCCAGCTTCACTCCCAACCCTCACGTGTGCTTCAGATAGGCTGGCTGTCTAACCAGCTCTCTAGATTTACCTATCTCTGTCCCCTACCCTGGGGTGACAGGCATGGGCAGCTATTCGCAGCTTTTATGTGGCTGTCAGGAATTTGAGTGCTGGTGCTTATTCTTGCCAAGAAAGCAGGGAGTTATCTTCCCAGCTAGCCCTGGATTTTTTGATTTCTCAAGACAGTGTTTCTCTGTGTAGCCCTGGCTGTCACTCTTTAGACGAGGCTGGCCTCAGACTCAGAGGTCTGCCTGCCTCTGCCTCCCGAATGCTGGGGCTTTTTTAAAAATATGTGTTCTGGGGATCAAACTCAGGCCTTCATGCTTGCACAGCCCTAGATCCTCACAAAAGAATTATTTCTCACTATCTCAGAAGCACAATTCTGTAGACAAATAAATATGTTCTGTAAATATGTTTATGCTTCTCTAAGTTAGTGCTTGTGAATGGGGGCTTGCCCATTACTGGATTATTATGTACAGACCTTTGCCCTGGGGGACCAGTTGGTTTATCATCCCTATGCACTGCACTGCACAGCAGGGATGCACAGA